TAAAGTGATTTTGGTCCTTTCTGAAGTATATTGCTGAAATGAAGCAAGCATAGGCAATTGTGTGGAAAGGAAGGCAGCCCAACTATCAGATAATAGATAGTGGGGAGAATAGTGGCAACCTATCGAGGATCTCTGAAATCTCTTGAAGCTTGTACAAACATGAGTTTTAATTTGCCTTCAAGGAGAAATAATTTTAAAAATCCAGTTTTCAAGCTATTCTAATAATATACCGAGCACTTCTTATAAATCCAAAATAGTTTATCTGGGAAAAAATAAGTCTTAAAATGTTATTTGATGGTCAACATTAGTGCTTTGGCAACATGGGACATGTAAAGACCAGTTTCCTTTGTTGACAAAAGGGGTGGTGATGTCTGACGTGAAAAAAAACATTTGTTGGCTTAGTGATCAGAACCAGTAAATGCAAATACAAAGCAAACAGCTCCTGCAATTGAAAAGGGTCACCCACTCTCTTCCATCACGTACTATCCCTTGCTCTAGTTTTATGGAACATCAGAAACACGGATAAAAGACACCCAGGTTTATAACAGAAAATACAACACAAATTAAGGCTTGCTATCGAAACCTTGAGTTTAAAATAATGGGTGTGTCCTTTATAGCAACAATATAGGAAAAGCTAATTTCAGAGAAGCTACTGGAAGCCAGATGTACAGTATAGGAAATGGTATGTATGTGCCCAAAGCTTTCAGTTCCATTGCCACTCCCCAAGAATCTTGTGAGTTTAGATGCAGGAGCTAATTTAGTGTGTGTCTGTGAGCATGCTGTTTTCTTAATATCTAGAGTAGCATTAAAAAGCTGCCTGATACCCATTAGTTTATTTACTGTACTGTTTACAGACATTATATAAAAGAATGTATGATGCCAAGCTCAGCATCAGTGGTTGGGAGGCTTCAGCAGATGACAAGAATCACTGCACACCAGAGACTAACTGCTGGCCAAACTCACCACAAATGCTGCTGAGCACCATCATCTCTGTTTCATTTAGATTCCATGGTCTTTTAAGCAGAGCAAAATACCATAATCTTGCTCATGAATTGGGAGTTAGAAATATCATCAGGTACAGTGATAGGATTCACCAAATGTAAACTACTATGATTTCCACCTCTGACCCTCCTACTAAAAAGGTTGCTGCCCATCCAAAGATCTCAAAATATATACACATACATATATTAGGAAAAGCACACAGCTGATGGCTTCTGGAGTTCTTTTCAAATCTCTCAACCAGTAGAGACATTTTTATTTTTAACAAAATACATTGCAACTCCGTATATGTGCATATCATACATTTTGGGAGTTATATGCTTGACTCTGTCTTCACATTATTAGGAAGGAGAAGGGAGGAGGCATCAAATGGAAGAATAGGTGTTGAGGCATTGCTGAGCTGCCTCTTCAGGGATTTTTTTTTTACAATCCCTGGCCCAATTTGGCTCAAGTTCTAACACCAGCTTTCTTTTGCCAGTTCCCTTTTTAAACTAAGTATGAATCTTGTATTCTGTACAAGATGCAGTTATCCTGCAGATAAACAAAGAAAATGGTGAACATTTTTGCAAAATTTCTTTCCAATATTTGATTGGATTTGAAAGAATCACAAAATGTGTGTCACCTACTTGCACTAAAGACAGAGCTAAGATCTTCTAACATCAGATCCAAAAATTACAAGAGGGAGACTAGCTCAAAGATAATAATAATTGAAGAGGTAAGAAAATAGAGACATGTTGGGTTCTGTACTGGCTGTGGTTCGTTTTTCTTTTTTAGTCTTTTGAATCAATGTTGACTCCCGGTAACTGCCTGGACAAATCCCTGCAGTTTTCTTGGTGAGATTTCAGAAGTAGTTTGCCTAATGCAGCCTAAGGAACTATCCCTTTAAGTTTAGATGGACCATACGCCTGTCTCCGAAGATCAGATCTATCACATTCTTCCAGTAGGATCAGAGTCATGGGAAAGTGGGACAGACTAGAGCTATCTCTAAGGATAGGAGGTCAAAGGGGGTGGGAAAGACTAGTTTTTGCTGAATATTATTTCCAGTAGCACCTTCTGCTATCAAGGTTTCATAGAAGTGATTGTGTCTTTCATCTAAAGACTGTTTCTCTCTTCCCTTCTAATTGGGTTTGAAAGTGCCGATTAGTCACTGCCTGCCAGCACTTCTTTATTGTTTCCTCCTGCACTATCCCCACACTCTTCCTCCAGCCATAATTTTGAACCCAAATTTAGCAGTTTTAGAAGACTGGTAGGTCATTTCACAGAAATAGGTTGAGTGACAGATTTTAAGTATGGAGTGCCACCTGACCTGAACCAGTCCCTTGGGTAGCTTCAAGGTGGGTAAACCTCCACCTTAAGGAAGCCTGTCTTCCATCCAACCCCATCTCACCATACGGAGTGATTGTTATCCCTACTAAGTGATGCTCATCATGAAATGGAACAAAGCTGGAGAATCTGTAAATGTCCTTACAAGCCTAAAGGACAGTGCCGCTCAGCAGTTTTACTATGAAGACATAAACAAGGCCTGGCAGTCTGGGCAGAATAATTTATGCCAGCCATACTTTTCTGATGACTCAATTGCTGGAGGACTGTATGTTAATGCTCTTCCTTGAAAGAACCCCGTGTTCTGTGGAGTAAATTACAATGACTGGGTTTATATCAAGCTAAAACATCATACTAGGAAAAAGCACAATATGCTAAATCAAAGCCAAAAAAGGTAAATTACAATTTAGAATAGGGGGTGGGTAATCTGAGGCCCCAGAGCTACTTGTGGCTCACCACTCCCATTTTTGCTATGCTAAAAATCAGCAGTATGATTTCCTGCCATTGTAAGGTGATAGGGATACACAGACACAGAGTGTAAGTTCTACAATGCTGTAGTTTAGAAACTGGACATCTCTGGCTGTACCAATTTTGCTTCATCATTCCCCCCCTCAAGAGATAAAGTGAAGCACTTGGATTTCTCACTTTGCTTAAGCACATATGTGAACTCATTTATTTTGTGGGTGTGGAGATCCATTTTTAATCTTTGCCAAAATCTTTAAAAGCATTTTAAGTAGATATGCCTAATTGTAGATATGCAACCTTCACTATCTTATCTCAGAACTCAAGAGTTATTCACAACTTGTAAAACAAACTGTATCCCTGCATATAGGTTAAATGTTTTTAAAAAAGAAAAAGCAAGTGCCATTTTTCTATTCTTAGATTTGGAATTCTTGAACAAGTTCTTATTCTACAGGAAACTGTTTATTTTTACAATGGGTGCGGCTGACAGGAACACCTTTGTGGAGATTAGCAATGCATAAGAACAGATGTAGGAAGCAAATTTACAATAAGCAGATGGAAGTGGGTAGGGCCACACTGTTCTGGCTTTGATATGGAATTTATTCTTTCTTTGGGAGCCATTCCTTGATACTGTGACTTTGTCTAGTATTGCATTGAAATATATTACATAAACATTAAGGTGTTGGGTTCATAATACACAAAACACATTCTGTTCCTCCCCATTGTACATGTATTCTGGAATTCTTAACTGCAAAAAGAGAGATAGATAGATATTTTATAATTAAGTTTACCAACTTATTAAATGGAAACATAATGTTCCAGTTGTCTTCACTATTAGGACAAGACTGTTGATATGTTTTTTTTTCTTTGTAATAGTCACAGGAAAGTGACAAATTGTCACTTTTGTATTATGCAGCAGACTATCAACAAATGCTCGTTTGTAAGAGACATTCCTTCCATGCATACATGACTCAAAATACATCCCAATTGTTATTTATTCAATTTCTTTCCTGGTGTTCATGAAGATATCCCAGCTCAGGAAGCCATTTTAGCACCAACTTTTGGCTGACATAGGGGAAGAAAATACATACCAATAAATGATGGATCATAAGCTGAACATGAACCAACAGGGTGATGCAATTGGAGAAAGAGTAAATACAATCCTACCCTGTACCAACAGAATATAATGTCAAGATTAACAGAAATCCAGTTCAAGGCATATTTCAGGATGATACTGACAAACTAGAGTTATATTCAGAGGAAATGAAGATAAAGTCTGGAAATAAAAAAGATGAACAGTTAGAGGCCCTGGGTATGTTTGGCTTGCAGAACATTTCAAGGAGACATAATAGTTTTCTTATAGTAGTATCTGGAGTTACTAAAACACACTGGGTAAAAATGTTCAAAGTTGTTACAGCACTAAGGACAAGAAACGAGTTAATTACAGGGAAGTATTTTTTGTTGGATGTAAATGAAAACTTTAAGAGGAATAGTTGTCAAGCAGGTGGTCTCCTTTGCTAAGATGTTTAAAGAGAGGCCAGATGGTAATCTGCCAGGGACAATATACAGTAGAAGTAGATTATTATACAGGGCAAGAAGTTGCTACGATAGTGGATTACCTTTGTTTTCCAACATTGATTTTATCTCTTTAAAAAATAGATGGCACTTGAGTTTTTCAAGTACAAAAACTAAAATATGCTGGTATTCAAGATTTCAATGCTAGTTAAATCACAATTCATAATGGAGTAAAATTCAATGTTATTTTAAAGAATGTGTGTCTATCCATGCAGTAATAAAACAGATTATGAGCATATAGTTTATTAGTGATGTAAATGGTCCACAATTAAAATGTTCTCCCTTATAATCCATACCAAATTTATGTGTCACCAACATACCACAATGATAGTTTTTTTAAAAAAATCATGTACAGTATCTGATCACTTTACAATGCAAGGCTGTCTGTTTTCCATGTCTCAGTACTTAAGACTGGTTGAGGGAATTCATAATAGAATTTTTTAGTGAATTTTTTTAGACACACATAAATCCCTTTTGGCATTTATGGGCTTTGTAGGATGGAATGGGTGCCTTGAACAATGCATAGGCTTCAAAAGACATCCTTTAAACAGTTAAGTCTCCTAGTCAAACTCAGCTCCTCATCACTTAAGAGGCAAATTTATTTAAATATGGAAATGAGTTGGCCTTTTCTTCTGCGTTTTGTATTTTGTTTTGGTTGTAACCGATAATGTTCTTGATATTGCTTTAAAACATGAGCAAGGCTTGATTCTATAAGGCTTGATTCTGCCTTAAACCTCTTATCCAAGCTCTTTTAGCTATGTTTGTTTAATGACTGATTGGTACACTTGTTCTCCTGCTTTTTGGGGAAAATAAAATGCTTTTATTAGAAATATGGTGGTATCCTCTATACAGCAATTCTATGTTCTTCTTTATTGCCAACCTTGTTTGTCATCACAAACTTATTATGGAGTGATGCTCTGTTTTACGATATTACCAAATTTTGTCCCCCCAAAACCTTACTAGGAACAATTTGAACTGACATTTTTAAACTTACTTTGCATTCCTTTTTAGCCCCATTTAATGTTATCAATCTTATTGTTATATTATTCAAGTTTAATAACAAAAATAAAAGTTGTCTCCTTGCCTCCTCAGCCATATGGACATAATCTCCACCAATGACAGCTTTTTTCTACTGCTAAGCCTACCATTTCTACTAATGGGACAGAAGATAAGGCTGAGAATCCAACTCATATCGGAATATCAGAGATACATTTTCTCTTTCCACAAGAATCATTCTGGTAGGAAAATAATTGGGATGTGACCGTAGCTCTATCAGCTAAATGTTTAAGATGAAATGTGTCAAGTTTCTGGAAGCACATTTGTTCCTCTGTTGTTTAAAAGTTTATGATGGGTTCAGGATGGGCTTAAGTAGTAAAAAGGCTATACACAGAAGTTGTTAATTGCTTCCTAAAATATATTTCCCACATTTTAAAAAAAATTACATGGAGAGAAGAAGCAAAAGAGTAGCCAAAGCCTTGTGTCTCTTTAATGTTGCAAAGTTTGGTTCAAAGAATGAAATATGGCATAAGATTACAATAGTTTTGAAAGACACAGGTATTAACATCTTACAAAATGGAGGAAGGGAAGATGCAGGCTAAATATAACGCTAAAGTTCCCTTGGCTAGTGAGGCAGAAATATTTCAGGTATCATTCTTTCTCTTTTCATGCATTGCCAATACTAGGCACATGGCTAGCTTTTCTCCCCACCTCCTTACCCAATGTGACAGGGGTGATTGTAGATTGAATTAATAATAAAGGGACTCCACTGTTGGAGATAAAATGTTCCAACTATCAAACCAGCTCGTTTTCCATGCTTTCTATCAAACTTGTTTGCTCTATTTTCTGTTAATCAAAGGTTGACCATACAACCGTATTGGTACTGCAAACTGCCTGGCTGCCTGCTAATGTAGGAAAGGCATGGCTCAGGCTTCTCTGTGATATTTCTTTCCCCTTTCAACACAAGAACACTTGTTCTTCAGCTGCAGAAATTTTTCTGTTATCTTTAGATGTACTCAAGATTTCTCAGTTGCTTGGTGCACAGATTCCAGAATGCTTTATATCAGCACGCAGTTATTTAGAAATAGAAAGGGAACTGGAAAATTTAAAACTGGGAAATGCTGGCAGCAGAGAACAAGTGTTAGCCCTTGAATTCCATCGTATCAGCTGTTTACCTCAGCCTAAATCACAGAATTCTGATGACTAGAACCTGCACGTAAGAACAGATTTCCCGTTTCTCAATATCCAGATGAGAAATGAAACTGGAAGGAGAGCACCAAACCGAAAAGTTGTTTTATTGGTACCATACATGACCATAAATGGCACAAACTATGCAAAAAAAAAAAAAAGCTTTACAGTGCCCCAGGGAAGTGGAAAGGGACAAAGTGGAGAGAGGTGATAGAGTACACGTCATCACTACATGCCGAGCCACAGCAGTAGAGAAATGTGATACTCTTATTTTGAAGTAGGAAACAGATATGGGAAAAAACCCAATCCTTTGTAATTTACACTACTAGCTGCTATAATTACCTGCCGGCAGGGGAGGACCTGGGCCCAGTAATACAAAAGTGACCAAACTGCCATGAATATATCTCAGGTTCATCCAATTGGGTTCCATCAGAGTAGAGAATATCTAGGATTCCAGAGCATGACTTGAAAGGAAATTCTTCTCATGGCACTAGACAAAACTAGCAGCTCTAGGAAAACTGATGACAATAATGCTGCAAAGCGGGGGAGGGGGAGGAATCTTTGCAGGTAGAAATTCTCTCGAAGAAATACCCTAAGCAAGGTAAAAGAGTATTGTGCCATGACAGTGCAGCCTTTGCAATCACCCTCACAATCAGTCTAGGCCAGGGGTATCAAAGTGCTAGCCTGTGGGCCGGATGCATCATGTGCAGGCCACGCCCACCCTGGCTTCACAAAGGCAAAAAACATCGTGATACGGCACATGACGCGGTGGAGTTTGACACCCGTGGTCTAGGTCATCAGGTGGCCAAAATATCTTAAAGGTATTTTGCACTCTTCTCCAAAGTGAAAAACCATGCCTCGCTTGTGGCAACTTTGAGGCCTCTGTGACTAATAAAGCATCTTTTTTTTTGTCCAAGATGTACAGGATAAACCTAGGCTTTAAGGAAGAACATTGGAAGTTAGAAAGGAAAGTAGATGGGTTTGTTTCCTTGGGGATTTAGTACCAGTATTTCAAATAAAAATGAATGTGTCTGGCTGGGCAATGGTTTCCTAGAGACTGTTCCATAAAGAGAAGAAATAATTATATTCTCTTTGCAAAACATGGATATATTGCTTCCCCAGATGCCACAGCCCCATTCCTGTGGTTCTGCACTGCTGTAAATTGGTGACAGTACCCTCTGAACTCTACTGCCTCCCAAGAAGGACACCCATCACAATCAACTCCTCCCCCACCACCAATGGTAATGGGAGTGGCAGCCTTAGTGAGAACACAGTGAAAGAACAGCATCATACACACAGCATACAGCGCAGAAATATACAAGCACAAGGTACACAAATTTGAAAAGGGGAAGGATATGGTAGAGGAGGGTGGAGCAGGAACAGAAGCACACACAAATTACACCAGGGGGTGGGGGGAGTGGAGGCAGCCATGCTGTCCTCAAAGGAGTGTATAAAGGAAGTTTGCAAAGTCTCTCCTTGGTTTGAAGCTCTCAGAACTGTATACAAAAACTAAGACTCCCAATTAGTAGACAAGCCTGTACAAAAATCAGGATTGGGGGGAAATAGGGAGGGAGGGCAGATTTTTTTAAAACTTACAATTTTATTTTATTTCTTTAAAAAAGCCCAAAATACTGAGGGCAGGGTATGTATGAGGACTGCAATTTCCTTTAAGAGCAGGTTGGGGCAAAACAGCCCACGCCTGAAGATTGACCAAAAGGTCAAGTTCCCTTCCAGATAACTGCAGAATATTTTTCTAATGTATTCCAGAAAATTTTAAAACCCTACATAATCTCCTGCCATATTGGCTTTCTGGGATCTTCAGGCAAAACAGAATTACTGCTCTGCCATCTCTAAGACAGTCAAGATGAACTGCTTAAAATTCAACCCACAAAAATCATAGCTGCCCCAACGTGAGTCATGACATTGTCCACAAGACTCTAAGACTCTCCTGCTAAAATGGAGCCTTCTTGATGCCCCTTATAGGAAACTGAATGATAAAAGGCGCCTTAGACCAGATTTTTCCTGCCCATCTTAAGTAATCAGTCCTGTGGCCTCTTCCCAAGGTACTTCATGCTGATCCACCAAATGGACTTGAGGCTCTAAGGGTCTGCTATGAATACCACTCCCTAACAGTGTTGCTTGTGGTATCCAGGGCGCTGGATGCATGGACGGGGAAGGAGAAGGAATTAAAATTCTGCTGGGACTAAAAGCCCACTGTTCCAATTCTGCCCTAAAGGAGACAACCAAGAGTGCAGGCAGCAGGGAATCGTGGCCAGGTTAACTGTAGACAGGCAGGCGCTGCAGTGCTCATAGACCTTGACACCTTGTTGGCCAGCCACTCTTCTTCACAATTGTCCAGGTAGAATGGTTTCGACTCAGTCCGTGGAGCACCAGCCAAGTCACGTATAGGCCTGGCTGGGCACTGTTTTGGGGGCTTTATTGTGATGCTTGCGACGTCGGATTCTCAGACTTGCTCTCCTGACTGGAAGGGGGCTTGCTGTTCCAGGGACTGTTGGCACCCAATGCAGGAGAGTTGTTGAAGCTGTCCTCATCATCAATGCCATTGGCAGCGTCAAACTGTGTGTTCTCCAGCCGAGTGATAAGGCGCTCATCTTCGTCACCAAACTCCCCACCCATCAGGGTTGGCTCGCCCACCACCATCACATCCTGAGGAGGGAAGAGGGTCCCGAAACATAATCGAGGTGGAGACTGCCCTGATCCATATCACAATGTTCAAGGGAGCCAGCTGTCACAACAACAAGGACTTCTCCCCCACCCTCCTAGAATGAGGAATCAAAATTAGCCTCAGCCTTGACTCACCCTTCCCTAATCTGGCACCTTCCAGATGTGTTGAGACTCAGCAACTAGGAGTGGCACAGAACATCTAGAAGGCACTTTATTTGGGAAGGTCTCAATATTCCCTTCGAACATTGCCCCTCTCTGGACTTAGAATAATGTTGCTATAAGTTTCTACTGTATCTGGGCACAGACAGCATCTGACAAATCAATGGATGCCCTGGGACATTGGCGAATCACAGTCTCCTCTCAGTTCCCACCTGAATGGTTCAAAGCCTGTTATATCTACTGTAAGAGGAAGAAGTCTGAATTCTTCCTAGTCACAAAAAAATGAGACTCTGGCCCTAACAGGGTCTATATAGAGCAGGGATGTCAAACTCATGTCATCACGGGATGTATCAGGACTTTTTCCCCCTTCGCTAAACCAGGCGTGGGCATGGCCAACAGATGACGCATCCAGCCTGCAGGCCAGGAGTTTGACAGCTCTGTCACACAGCCTTCAAATGAACAGCTACACTAAGGGATTACATTAATCCTTTTTACATTATAAGACAGGGTGGGGATAATCAAGATAAATATATTTGGGACATCTATTGTAGATTAACAAGGATTCCTGACATTCACTTAAGAGCAACAACTAAGTTGCTTTCCCCTTTTAAACCAGGTTGCTGAAAAAGAACACCTGAGAGAAAATTGGGAATGGATTTCTGGATAAAAGGACTGAGACATCAATTCTGGCTGGCTTACATGCTCAGGCATGACCTTATTCCTTAACTGTTGGTGTGTTTCCCCGAATCTGGCTTGAGAGGACTCCTAGAAGCCTGAATTCTCCCAGCACCACCTATCCTTTGGGGGAGAGCTTCAGCTGCATGAAACATGGCCCCAGGCCAAGGAATCCTCAGGTTAAAAGGAAAAGAAAAAATGAAAAGGGGATGCTTACAGGTACCTGACTGGAGAGGGCAAAGGTGCTGGCTGGACTCTTCTTTTTGCTGTTGCTATTGTTGGTATTGCCTCCGCCGGAACTCATGGTGCTACCTCCAGACATCTTCCTTTTCCGGCGCTTACTAGGCTGCTGACGTGCAGGTTCAGCTATGAAGGTGTTTGTGAAATAATAATTGGTGAGATAAGTTGCCTTTAGTAAAAAAAATCTAATGTTCCATTGTTTCAACACAGTCAAATTGTAAATTTGCATGTTCCAAGCAAGACCTGGATAATGAATGAATACTTCCCATTATTTATTCATAAATTTATATACCGTCCGATTCAAACTATCTATATATTTCTATATTTCCACACTAACTTCCACTTTCATTTTTACACCTTGTGTTACTTTCAGAGATAGGAGTTTAGCCCTCATCCAAGTTCTGAGGCATTCCAGCTGCAGGAAGCCAATGCCCTGCTGCCCTCAAGTGGGCTTGGTAAGAAATACATCTGATTTAGTGGTCAGTGCACAGGATAGACTTCCCTACTGCTCAAAAGTCTCACCAGGTGGCGCCACCATACGTTGCCACTTCTGGAATAAGCACGTCTTGAGGCAATCCCGAGGACTGAGACTGTAGGTCTTGTGTCGAGACATCAACTCCTGCATTGGTTCTAGGATTACGCACAGCTGGTGGGAAGAAGAGGAAAAATAAATTCTGTAGTAGAGGACAAACCCAGATGGAATCCTCCTGGAACCATAGATAGATTTCTAGGCATTGATCTGAACCTGGCCAGATGTGGACACATTCTGACAAAACTAATTAATTTCTTAGTGCCAGATACCTGGGACATATAATAAAGAATAATAAAGTGCATCAGTAAAGGACAACAAAGAATATTGTTCAAAAATAAAGAACATTCACCTTTCTCGGAGGCCAATGACAATCAATGTTGATCAGCAGCAAGAGGTTCAGCCCACCCACCACACATGGAGTCTCCGTGCTCTCTCCACTCCCTTTTAATATCTATACAAAGCCATGGGTGAGTTCATCTGTCGCCATGGACCGTACTATCATCAGTATGCAGATGATATCCAGTTGTATAGTGGACGGGTGATGCTGTGGATGCCCTTTTGCAGTGCCTGGAGATTTTGAAGGTCTGGGTGGGAACAACTGGCTTCAGTTGAATCCTGGTAAGGCAGAGTGGCTGTTGGTGGGAGGAGGGGGTCCTCTTTATTCTAGTACTTGCCATCCTTGATCCTGGATGGGGTTGCACTGCCCCAGACCAAACAATTGCGTGATCTAAAGGCCCTGCTGGATTAATGAATCCTGCTTGAGGAGTAGTGGACAGCCATGGCTAGGAGGGCCTTTAATCAACTTGGTGTTGTAAACTAGTTATGTCCCTTCCTGAATTGAAAAAGTTCCTTATGCTGTAGTCATCCCCCATATCCATTACTACAATGTGCTCTACATGAGGCTACCCTTGAAGAGCACCTGTGAGCTGCAGCTGGCACAGAAGGTGGTGGTGTGGGCAGTTTTGTGCACCCCTGGAGTTGTGCATATGATGCCTCTATTATTTGAACTGCATAGGATGCCTCTTTGCTTCTGGGTACAATTCAAGGTGCTGATATTCCCTCTAAAGCTCTTCATGGCATGGTCAATGTAACCCGTCCACCCAGTTAGACAGAAGAGTATGTTGCACACACCATTCATTAAAGAATTTTGATTGGCAGGGTCCAGGAAGGGAGCTTTCTCTGTCATTGACCCTGCCATATGGAATATCTTGCCCCAGAGGGGACATAGGTGCCCACTCATATAGGCTCCAGAAGAGCATTAAGACCTCAGTCTGTCAACTGGCCTGGGGATCTAAAAGTAATCCTGGGTATGGTTGGTTGCTTGAGAGCATTCCTCCATCTTTTTTAAAAAAATTGTTCTACTTCTGTTTTTAACTTTGTTTTTGCCTATGTTTCTTTTATATGGCTATATGTTTTAAAAGGCTAAATTACCCAGAATCGTGTGAGATGAGCAATGTATAAATTAGATAGACAGACAGATATACATACATGTATTTATTTCTAAACCATCTTTATTATTTTTATGAGGCGGTGAACATATCCAATACATTTTCCTCCTCCTATTTTCCCCACAACAACCCTATGAGGTGGGTTGGGCTGAGAGCGGCTGGTTTAAAGTCGCCCAAATGGCTTTCAAGGCTAGCTTCAATCTTAGATATTACTTGTAGGTTACGATCAAGCTGGATAGTAGTTTCTATACATGAGCTTCAGTTACTTTTAGAATTTACACACTTCTCTTGATTGCTAGCAAAATCAAATAGTAAAAATGTTTTGCCCGGAGCACCTGTGAAGCTTTTCCTAGAAATAATGCAGCAAACTGACTTTCATGCTAAATATGTTTAGTCAAATCTGGATTTGCAAAACATATGAGATGTACTTTCCCTGTATGCTTTCTTTCTCCTAGTGTGGGTAGAAGTGTGGAAAACAGTTCAGGTGCAAGCTTTTCCACATATGGAACAGATGAATCTTTCCTTCCCCTCATCTCCTTTATAGCCCAACAAACTAGGGCGAGTCTCTTCTGAGCCTCTTACCCTGCCCGTTATCCAATTGCAGGCTAGACTGTCTCTTATCTGACCGTTCCCTTGGCAACAGTCTCTTTGCTTGGGTTCCCAGGGTCTTTCCCACATCCCATTACAACTTGTGTCCTAGAATCCCAGGGGCTCCATTGCTGAGATTGTCAAATAAAGCTGGACAGCTATTTAGCTGGGATGATTTGAGGATTCCTCCTTTGGGTAGGAAGCTGAACTGCAAGGCCTCCAAAGTCATTTCAAATCCTACGATTCTCCGATTTTGTGTATACCAGCTTTACCCTAGTTGCCCTGTACAACCACTCTTGAGATTCCTGCAGGCTTTGTTTTGACCGGTCATGGTTCATCGAAAATGGTTTGGTAGAACTTCCAGAAGACAATTTCTCCTTTCAGATTTGAAGCAAAACATATTTTCCGTTTTCTATACATTGCTAGTGAATTTATACACGCCTTTATTCTATCATAGTAATATAGAAAAAAGTGCCTAATAGCTTTCGATACTGCCACTACTATAAAAATTTAACTAGTGAGAATATGATTGTATTTTATATATACATTATCTGCCAATAATCACCTAAAGCATAGAAGCATATATATTCTCACAAAAATAAAACAGTCTACCCCCAAAAAACCTTACAATAGCCCTTAGTGTAAAATATAGAAAACATTATCATCCAAATGACATTTTTAATTCTGTTACTGTCCAAAGGAGGAAATACCAAGGAATATATTTCTTAGTTTCATAGGTGCTGAAGAAAAGCACTTACTCGGAGGTAGTTGAGTGTGGAGTTTGAAAGTCCACATCGAGTAATATTTTTGGACAATTGGTCCAACATCTGGGGATCTTGCGCCTGGAGAGAAAATGTTAGAAGGAGAAATAAAACATTTAAACAAAAATACGTTGCATCAACACATAAACTGTACATTGGTGCACTGGGAGGTTAATCTTTTAAAATGATACAATATATTAGGACACCAAAATAGAAACTGAAGGTTGAAATTTTCAAAAAATAACAGTGCAGCAGAAAAACCCTCAACACTATGAATGGGCACAAAACAACTGAAACAACTTGTCAAGACTCATTCTCAGAAATATTTAAACCCAGCCTAAACAGAGGCTATTACTAACCTCTGAACTTACATGCATAGCAAGGATGCTACGGGGAATAAGTTCCCGATGCTGCCGGACACTGAAGTGCCATGTCTTTATCCTCATCATGTCATCAAACATGAATTCCAAGTAGAGGCGGCCCTCCACAGATACCTGGACAAGGAGAATGTAAAGGGCTATGAGATTCAAGGGAGCGTTCTCTAAGTAATTATTTCAACACTTGTATATAAAGTCACTTGTATATAATATAACACTTGTATATAACAGCATCAAATTCTGGGTCGCTTTTTAGATTATAGCACCCCATTACTCAAATTGTATCTCCAGAATCATACTATTTTATTAGGCTGCATCTGAAATTCATTTTGTGAGTATCTAACATTCTATTAGTCTTTCCCAGCAGGCATATACTTTCCTTTTAACTGACTTTTGTTAGATTATTTCCCGATTTCTCATTTTTTGGTATCTAAAATTAAAACATGAGATATAGACACCATTATCATTTCAGACTACGTTTCTAAAATAATTATTGCTTTATCTCACAGAAAAATTCCTTTCTGAAGTAAATCTGGTCTCCTGCTTTTTAGCTTGAGGTTCCTCAGGTTTAAGTTGGGTCAACAAGCCTGAGGACTCCTGGGAACTGGTGAAATTTTGAGATGACCACTAATTAATTAATATCTCCCCTGCACCCAATCTCTTCCTTATTGTTTTTAGCTCTGTGGCTTTTTATATTTGCACTCATGTTATTAATAACATTAATTTATACATTTTGTTTTTAATGTGGTTGTATGAAATAGAAGTCCATCCATTCCTTGTTTTGCAGCACTTGGTTTTTAAAATGTAATTTCTAAGCACCATTTTTCTACTTCTTAAAAAAATGGCTATACCTGCCTATCCCATTTCTAAATAGTGCTGAATTTAAATTAAATTTTAAAATTGTGCTATATGTATTTGCACTTTTATTAATTCTTTTAGAAGAAAAATAAATTTAGAAATATTCTGTGACACAATTTTGTTCTAATTCTACTTGTAGCTAGCAACTCTTTCCAAGCAGAGGATCTCTTTACATACGTGAAGAATGCTGAAGATTTTAATTAAACACAAGTACTGCTTGGTAAGCCTTGGGGCTGGGGAAATACCATTGCACTCTCACCTGGGTGAACATGGGCTTGCCATGCTGAGTGACCATAGTACATTGATCACAATCAAGTGAAACAAAGTTGTTATGGAAGGATTCCTTTGGGTGCTTCAGAACATAATACAGCTCAGTAGCGCCCCCCTCAAAGATACTGCGGAAGTAGCGAGGAATTAGGGTACGGCCGATTGCTAGACATCAGGAAGAAAGGGGTGATAAAAATCAAATTATTTGTCATTCTGTGTAGTATACATTCATGAATAGATTGGCAAAAGCATTTTTGGGAGATTATGAACAATGAATGGAACGGCCAACAGGCCAAGACCCAAGTCCTGAATGTATTGCTCAGAAGCAATAATGTTGATCATTCCTTGATGTTGCCAAGCTCCCTACCCATCTTCATTATATTTCTCTTAGATTCCTCCAATTTAAAAAGTATGGAGAGTAGCACAGGACTATCTCAGAAATAACTTTATTTTCAATGGTGCTTCTGGACCTATCTAGACCTGGACCTATCATTGTCTTATAGCATCTTTCAAGGGTTTCAGATGGGCTTTTTCCTAGCCCTAACTATGGTATAGAATGTTGGGGCTAAACATGAGGCTTCTGCATGCAACACATGTAATCTACTATTCAACTGTGTTTCTTCCACACTAACACAACAGCTTTAAGTTGTTCTAAACAGATACAATTTATTTTTCCATTTTAAAATAATCCATCTACTTTCTAGAACATGACAAGCGGAAGGAATCTATGCATGTCTCCTAAGTCCAGAAATCTGTCATAGTAATATTTTATTCAAAGTATAATATTCTGAATAGGAACAATATCAATTTCGGGATATATTTAATGGTTTTTCCAGGCACCCTCGTCGTCCTTTTAATATCACTTCTCAAGTTTTGGAAGAAATACCAAAGGAAAATCTTATCAGATGCTGATTTTTAGAAGTGGAGAGTAAAGGAAAATATGTGAAGCCTTATATAAACTGGACTTCCAGTGATTAATGACACATAATTTTTATGTAAGAATACAAATCCCCTTAGAATAACAAATATATACTAATAAGTGGATGGAACTTCTTGAAAATCATTCCTGAAAATCATTTGTCCACCCAAAGGTAATGTATTCTAACTGGGAACTTCATGGTAATTTCAAAAATATATCCAATGTGGAGCACCACTCTTATACAAGATCATAAATGCTAAATGCTTGCTGGGAATGTTATCCGAAGACACTTTTGTGGTCATGTGGCCAGCAAGGTTCCCATCGAAGTAGTATCTACTTTACCTACCTGTATTTGCATGCTTTCAAATTTTTAGACTCACAGAAGCTGGGGAAACAGCTTCCCTGTCACATGGTGCTTGTGTTTTGAACTGCCAACCTTCCACTCAAAAAGCCAGTGTCTTACCAGCTAGACTACTGTGCCCCATGTATGTATGTATACATGTATGTATGTATGTATGTATGTATGTATGGTATTTAGGTTTCTTCAGGTATTTTCCCACATCTTAATATTTGTGCTTTTATTATAATGACATTTCAGCAGAATCTCAGAATTTCAGCCTGAGGATGGCAGATGAGATTCTGCCGAAACGTTGCTATAATAAAAGCACAAATA